TGTAGCGCTGCAGGGGGTTGTCGTGACCAAACTGCAGGACCCTGCACTTGTCTCTGTTGAATTTCATACAGTTGGCCTGGGCCCATCGATCCAGTCTGTCCAGGTCCCTCTGTAGAGCCTTTCTACCCTCCAGCACATCAACACTCCCACCCAGCTTGGTGTCATCTGCAAACTTGCTGAGGGTGCACTCAAGATCTAAGCTACTTGTTAGATTTGACTGAAATAGGAGATTTTTTCATTCTTTTGCATAGATTTTGCTCTTCTTTCCTTTCCACATTTCAGTTTTCCCTACTTAAATATAACTACGCTACACGAATGTACACACATACAAGTCTTTATAAACTGGTATCAGCTCTGCGCATAGAAACTTGCTTTTTAAAGATTCAGAAAAGCACAGAATTCTACTGTCAGCCTGGAGAAATATCCAGAAATAAAGAGCTGAACGCTACAGACCTAACCAGCCTATTTTGTAGCCCCACCAACTACCTAAGTCACGGCTCTTTTAAGCAACTTACCTTATCCATCCGATCTTTCTGTACACCATACTTCCCACCAAATCCTTTCGAGTAATCTATAAAAGCAGGACAAAAAGGTTAGAGCGGGGAGTTTGTCGTCCCTCCCACCTTTCTGCCAAATGCAAACAGCCATCTCAAACGCAAGGAGCCATCTCAGCTGCATGCAGAGGGACAGCGACAGCCGCCAAAGAAAATGCAACTTGGTTTTTGATGCAGAAAGGATACGTCATTGCAAGAGCCTTCAGGTACACCAGCAGATGACAGATTGTGGGCCACATGCATTCTCTGAGGAAACATTAAGCTGAGGATTGGTAAGGTATCAAGCAAGGAATAAGCGATGAGCCCTTCTAATGCATCACTTCTGTAACACAGCCTTTCGCAGCACCAATTCTTAGCCCTCTGCAGGAATCGTATAATCTAAGGCATTTCGCTTTGCTCAAAGGAGCCATATCCAGTCTTCGGTGACCACAGAGGTGTTTAGTGTGGGGTTTTTTTTTCTTTTTACTTGGTAAATTCTACGAATGGCAGGAAGACCTAACAAATTTCTCATTCCAGTGGATTTGGTCGTGATACCCAACCGATGAACATTAAATTCACTGGCAATAACTCCTGCTCTACATGGGGAAAGGGGCAATTCCACACGACAGCACGAGCCTGCAACAACTCACCAGCACAGAAACGGGGTGGCCGTGCTCTTCCATACCAGCCCTGAGCCGCACGCTCTTTCTCTCCCCTCATGCTGACTCTGGCACTTGTTAGGCTCCAAAATCAGTTTAACTCACTAGTAGCGTTACGAAGGAAAATAAGAAGCAAACCTAACAAGAGCAGCTTTCTGCTCCTTCTAGGGAGCTGCACGCAGAGAAGTGGCTGGAGAGTGCCAGATCCAGCATGATAGAAGCAGCAAGAACGTGTGGCTGGAGAAACACCTCTTTCTGGTGGCAGGGAGCTGCAGGAATGTGCCCTCAGACTCTGTGGACAGGCTTTCCGGTATGTCCCTCAAATACAGGTCCTGCTTCTCCTCTCAGCCCCAAAACTACTCGGGCCCCCTCACCAGCTATCTCGGTGTTTGTACTTGGGCTCTCCTAAGGCGCATCTCGCATTCTCAAAGTTTGAATTTTGTGTCACGGTAGCACAGGAAAATACTGGCGATCATAATGAACAACCTCATTTTCTTCAGCTTTGTATGTATTTTCAGCCAGAATAAATACACTACACTTACATTTTCCTGATCCAGACTTCTCACTTTAAGATAACGGAAAACCAGGAATTCATGGTTTGTACCCCAACTATTTCACAACGAATAAAGAGAGCATTATAACAGTATTTGCTCACCCAAGAACCACAAACATTCCCTACTTCTTATTTTAAAGGCTACTTTTTTTTTTTTCAAATTGCTTGTTAATGGTTACATGCACGGTCCTTATCTGAAAACTTACTTATGTTTCGACTCTAAAACTGGCAGTAGCATCACACTAACAATAATGTTCTTATTATCACACCGCATGGTTAGCTATTAACTAAATGCATAACGCTCGAGAGCTGTCAGCTACACGTTGGAGAGCTGTTCCCTCTATCCAGGAGTGCTTTACGTAAGGTTTTAAGAATCAAACGGAAGAACTTTGCTAGATCACGTAGGAATAGAAGCGCAAGAAAGTGTCTGCACATTACTAGCACCAATCTACTCAGGCAACTATTTAAGACTGTGTGAGAAGTGGCTGCACTGTTAAGAAAGTAACAAGTGAAAACGGTGCCTTGTTGAGATTCATGCTTGGCTAGTTTCTCCTTGTAATCAAACCCCACGGCAGATGGGTCCTGCCTTTCTGTCTGTACACCAAATTTCCCTCCGAAACCACTCTTATAGTCTGAAAAAGCCACATGTAATAAATTAAAATGCGGGGAGGAAAATAAAGAAGTTTAGTCAGAGACAATTAAAATAATTTTTGGCATATTTTCAGTCACGAATAATTTCAGATGGTGAAAAGAAAATCTCAATGCACTTTTGTTACGAGTAAATTCAAATGAAGTTTCTGCTTGAAATTAGGAAGAGGTCAACGTGATTTATCAGACATAAGAACACCATTCTGAAGTCACAGAAAAAAAGCACTTCTCAAGATGTTTCATATGTACTGCAAAATGCACTTGCATTTGATCAGTATTATGGCCAAAACCACACACCCAGTACGTTCACCAAAACAAAACAACATACAAAAGGACACAAGGGCATAAAACGAGCTTCCTTCATCAGCATGGTTAACATTTGTCCGCTAGAGATTTCACTTCTGAAAAAGTGTTAAGATAGAGTCCACAGGGACGATGCTCCAGATATTCCTGCACAGCATTTTTTAAAGGAAGAAGAAATATTCCTGCTGCCACACAGCTTAAGTAAAAAAAGCTCTCAGCTGGCAGCTATGACCACTGCTGCCTTGGAACAGCCACGTTAATATACGGTATAAAATGAGGGCACATAAAAAGAAGGGCTTCCAATGCAACAAATCTGCTGCAGCATCCAACCGAACAATATTCCAAGGATTGTTTTTCATTTCTTTCATTTTAAAAAAAAAAGAAAAAAAAATATCACTTAATTTCTCTAAGTTAAGAGCGGTGACAGGCAGAGGGCAGGGGAGCAATCATTTATTTTGCACAACTCAACTGAAAAAGGAAAAAAAAATAAATTCAGGCTACCTGCAGACTCACAAAGCTTCTCCAGCAAGAACTTATCACTAAGTCTCAACTTTCAGGGACAGAATAAGAGGTGTTAAATCTGCTCTGCAGACACCAGTACAACCAACACACAGCAACCATCCAAACACAAAAAAACGAGACTCATGTCAGCTACTGTAAGGCCGTGGCCAAAGATGCCAGGGGAGGGGAGTTCACAACGGGAAAAAAAAGTCCAAACAAGGGAAGTCAGAAAGAATGGGAAGGATTGGGAACTGTGATACCTTTCTGGGATTCGTGTAGCTGCACCTTCTCCTGGTGATCCCAGCCAAGCGCGCATTTGTCTTGTCTGTCTGTCTGCACCCCGAACTTGCCTCCAAACCCCTTGACGTAATCTGTGTGCGTGAAGTTTCAGAAAACGTTATTGCAGTTTATGACTGTAAACAGTATTTAACAAAAAAACCCAGTAACGCGTTATGGATAAACTGTCCCATTAACGATACTATCTTCCACTTTTTTCTTTTTTTTTTTTTTACCTTCTGCTACGCTACCTCAGCAGACGGGAAGGATACCCACTCCCTAACTCTAGGATCGCAATGCAAGGACACACCACGAATCCAGTGAAGGTTACAGCTTAATATTCACAGATTTGAAGCACCTTCTCCCTAAAGACATATAACACACACATATATTTGTGAGAAACGTAGATATATAAATAATGAAGGACTTGATACCGCCTCTGACTACTACAGACCTGTGCAACTGCACGTGCATTTCAATAGCATCTGTAAGGACATAAGGTTCATTGGAAATCAGATTGTGAAAGCCAGGGACGGTTTACAATGCCTTCCTTCTCATTTAAAGGAAACAAAAACCTGCCTGTGCAGAGGGCAGACACATTTACCACCAAAACGGCCCCCAAACAAACTATTCTTCACAGTTTTAAAAGGCTGACTGATTTGAACTAGTATTTTTAAATAAGATAATAAAAACCTTTCTGTGATTCATGTTTTTCCGTTTTGCCTTGGTATTCAAAGCCAACAGCGCTTTTGTCCACTTTGTCCTTGTCAACACCGTATTTACCACCAAAGCCCCTGGAATAATCTAGAGATAAGAGTGAAGAATTTTGTTTATAAGCGTTCAGTAACAAAATAGTGCCTTGAAATAGCACGACAATCAAGCTGCTAACATTACATCTCGGATGAAAAGAAGCACTGACATCCCCAATTAATCTTTATTCCAGACACTGAAGTTATAAATCCCTCAAAAACACATTCTCTCAGGATGGAAAATAAAATAGCATCACACGTAGTTCAGCTGCTGGGCAGTATCAGCACTCGTGCTACTTGACTCCTTGATAAAATTCTCAAGACACTTAAAGCAAAGCGACCTTCAAAACCCATGTCGGCAACAGCCTGGATGCTTTTAAGCAAACACCCCCTTCCCTTTAGCATTTCTAGAGTGCAAATACGTCTTTGAGATAAACAGAAAACAGATGGCAAGAACGCTCAAATTTTTCAATAAAATGGTCGATTTTTGATCAAATGTGCCTGGCAACCTGATTAGCAACACAGTATTAACTATGAACACTATTAAGTCTGACAAATGTTTTAACCTACAAACAGATGACTCTGTTAGAAACACTTCTCTGTGGTGGTTAAAGTGCTTACAGTCTCGGTACTTTAATCTGCAGCTTTTCAAGAGAAGTCACAAAAAGCCTCCAGACAAGCCTATGTGCCCTGCTGCCAAGGCAGTGGCAGTTGGATCATCCCTTAAACCCACTCAGAACCTACATTTTAGGTTTCTTTTTCAGAAATCAAAATTCTCAGCAGGATAAATTTTGCTCGGTGTTAACTTCCAGCAGGCTCGGAGCGCAACGGATGTGAAAAATGAGTATTTTACAACACTGCCTATCACGAATGCTTACTCCCTCAGAGTAAGAACCCACCAACATGTGTCTACTCACCCTTCTGCGACTCGTGTTTCTCAGTTTTACCCTGGTAATCAAACCCCACTGCGCTCTTGTCCACTCTGTCAGCCTGGACTCCGTATTTTCCACCAAACCCACTCGAGTAGTCTGCATTGAGGGTAAAGCACGATAAAAATGAAATGAAGAAGCTTTTAATAGAAAAATCATATCCCAGCAATGCAGGGAGAAATTAAGTTATTTCAGAACTGAAATACTACCCTTTAGCACACAAAATCAAGCTTAATTTTAAACACAGAAAATAAGATGGGCAATAGTCCTATAATTGATGATGGTTCCTCTTAAATCTGCTCCATATTTCCAACAGGGTGTAATACAGCAAAGAACAACTCCCAGTCTTTCAAAAATGTTCTCCAACCTCACTTCTAAAAGCAAAGTAAGACTCCTGATAACATGCTATTGCCTTGTCTGAAACCCTCCTCAACTCATGAAATCGGTGTGAAATTTATTTTTTCATCTTCTCTTCCACCCAAATCCTTCAACACTTGATTCATTGGGAATGTCATGTGGAAGCCTGACTACCTCAGGTCTTGTACAAACGGTAGAAGAATAGAGATCTGGTCTATTATTTATAATAAACATGTCTACAGAAGCGACCCCCTCGCAACTTTACCTTTTTGGGAGGCATGCTTCTCAGTTTTCCCCTGATATTCAAACCCAACAGCCGACTGGAAGAGAAATAAAATTGCAGGTGTGACCAAGAGGTATTAGCAAAGCTGGATGCATTTTGATGGACAAACAGTAGAGAAAGCTCACATGTCTTTCCTCCTCTGACCTTTTTGGTCAGGAGCATAAATACCTACTTAATGCCCAGGCCATCATCATTTACATGATAATTTAGTACATGTAATCATGGCAAGGCCTTTAGTCACACCTTGTCGAAGCAAACTGTACTGGCAGCACGCTCATGTTTGCCAGTTTCGGCAATTTGGTACAAGAGGAATTCAGCATTTCCATGCAGGGGTTGTTACACAGTCTTGGAACGGGACACCAGTTATCCTGCCCAGTAGCTCAGGATATGATACAAGACAAACCATCCCCAAATCTCTCTCTCTGTAGCATTCATGCTGATTTTATCCTCATCAAAGAACACAGTCTGGCTAAAAGGCATATTTTAACATCTCTTTTCACTCTTCTTTTCAAGTCATCTCAATTTTCCATAGGGGCTCTTTTGTATTTTGCTTAAAACAGGAATTTATCCCTGTAACAGTTAGTGTCAGTTTACTGCTAAATTCAAACACAGCAGGAAGAGCAGATCACATCAGCATTTTAAGGTAAAGGTACTGGAATTTTTCAGCTGTATGTACAAAATGGGGAACTCGACTGCTGGGAGTACCTTCAGCACGAGATGAAATTGCTTACCTGGTCAACCCTGTCAGTCTGTACTCCAAACTTGCCACCAAATCCTTTCACCGAATCCACTTGGGAGCAATGCTTAGAAAGTTTGGATTGATATTCATGTCCAACAGCTGACTAAAAGAAATTGGAAAGTTCAGACACAGCCAGCAGTTCTACACAGCTCTGTACGTAAGAGAAAACACTGCAGCAAGTAACCTGAGAATAAGCTTCTTCACAAACATGCATTGCTGCAGCTCCTCCTGTCGAAACTAACTTCCCTGGAAATTGCCACTCACTTGAGAAGTCTTTACAGGACAGTCACCACACTACCAACAGCCTGGGCAAGGGAAGTGCCCAAAAGGAGCCTGACAGCAACGACTGTGTGGTATGAAGACTCCTTTACGCTCTGGATTTGTACTTCAAAAGCACAGCAATGAAAATGAGGAAGATCCAGACAGAGCCTTGATGGTGTTCACACAGAATTTAAAATAAGGATTAGTTCCAGAAAAAATACACAGCCTGGTATTTAGGCACATGGCTACAGATCTGTTTTGGCTGATACTAGATTACAGCCAAACACAACTACAGCCAAGTTTTCCACTGACATTCTTTTAGGGGGCGACCCTGCTCTTCTACATAAATCAAAATTAGGCATCTTCTCTCTACACTTTCTCCTCACTTGCAGAACGGCATCCCAACATGACGCAGTACAACCACATCGCGACAAAGCTCCCCACGCCAAAGGCTTCCCAGCCCCCAATCTCCCGGCCCCGAACTCAAGCCGGAGCACAGTTACATCACACCCTGATGGCTTCACCCAAGACACAAGGATATGTAATTACACACCTGAAAGTACCTCCAGATAGTGTTTGCTAGCGTTACGCTAACCTAGTGCCAGGCCACCCTTCTAGATCCTGGAACAGATGCTCCAGCCTAGCACCTCCAGGGGTGCTACAGAACACAGCAAAAACGTTTTTTTCTTGTCCAGTGGCAGAACTTAACGCTGTCCAGAGCAACTTGCCATTTGCCACTTTAATCTAACACCCGAGTCTGTAGCTCAAAGGCAAAGCCCATCAGATGCAGAAAGACCCCAGAACCTGACTCAACACTCCCACCTGCCTCGTGCAGCAACGCCGGTCCCAGAACTGGCCCTGCAGCTGCAGCCGAGCATCTCCCGAGCAGCTGCCCCAAGCTCCGACCTTTGAGGAATGAGAAACTGCTTATCTCATGCCAGTATCGCACAGGCTGGACCCAGGCGAATTAATTCAAGGACACAAGGTATCTAGAAACCATAACTTGGCTTTTACACTATTTGGGTTTTTTTTCCTGGCTGAACTAATTGCCAGGTAACAGAACAAAGATGTCAACAATGGGACATTACTTTAACTTACAGGCAATATAAAAGCTCCTTTATTTTCCTGACTGGAACAGTCATCCTCTTGTTCATTTTGCAGGTGTTCTGCCGCAAAGTAACTTCTAAGTGTGACAGAAAAGGCTCCCACCTCCCTCACTTCTTCCCATTAACCATTTTATTTATGGAAGACATGAAGGTCTGAAAATTCTAGGGTTTATGTGGTTTTACACAATCCCTCGTTTGTTGTATCAATTGAGGTTAGGGAAGGTTGAAGCATGTTGTTTTCTCTAGGTGGTACCAGAACTTTCTGCATTTCATCAAATACCAAAGCATTACACCGTATCCCTTTTTAGAAAAGCCTTAAAAAAAGATCTTTCCTGGAAATCTGCATTTCAGAGTAAATCACCCTCATAATTCCTCAGCACAATGTTCTACATTTTAAATCAGTTACGGAGGTCTGGCACATAGAGTGATGTAACTGTTCTTTTTAAGTTGGTCTTAAATGTAGCAAAAACCCGTGCCATGACAACGCTGCAGTGACACTCGTTTACTCAGGTGAGTCAAGCCTTAAGGCTGGCACAGATACCTGTGAAAGAGAGAGCTCAACAATCAGGCTTTAGAACTTAATAGTCATAAGGAAAAAGCTTTATTAAAACAATCAATTATTAATCTCTCCTGCCTCCAGAATCACTCAGAAGGGCATCACCATCATGTTTTGCCTGATGATTGATTCTGGCTTCACTTTTGTTTCTTTTTTTTTCCCCCCGTGGTCACAGGTGAGGGATGAACTGCTGACTCTGGAGAGCTCCACTGCTGCCGAATAAGCTGAATGGTCGAACCTGCTCAGCAATTCCTTTCCCCGACCCAAAGGTTAGGTTAGCCTATTACAAAGGCCCATAGAGAATTCTACAGCAATTTATCTGGGAATACAGGAATCCAGCAAAAATTACCAGAAACTCAGAAAGTAAACAAAGTAAGAAAATAAAATAATTCTCATTCAGGAATGGTTTAGTTCTTCTTTTAACAGAGTATAGGAAACAGAGTAGCCAGAAGTTGCTATGCCTGTCTAATTATCACATGGGTAACAGAATTACTGTAATAATTACAATTTCTTTTGCTACTAGTGTAATTTAAACAGCCATCAAGCTCATATGCAAAACATTATAATGTGACTGAACGATTTTTTTAAATACTTGGATTACTTGTGCCTGTTCACAGTTTACTACCATTTGAGCAGCAGCACATCCTTTTCTTGATTCTTTGGCAACATCTATATGCACAGAAGAGCTGGCATGGCATTGAAATAAAAGAAATACTGGATTTCTCCATGCATGAAGTACTTTGTTAATTCAGAAATATACATTTAGAAACTTGAATCTTGACTCCAGGGGAATCCACTCAGGGCATAAGCACGCAGACTTGTTCTAAAGACAGAGCAAGCATCAGACAAAAACATGGGTGGCCACTGCACACTCCAGAACTTTCCATCATTCACAGATTCCTGATCTTCCACCCGAAATACTTGTTCCTGATGCTTTGAGTGCATCAGTTTGTTCTGTAAGAGCATCTTGATTTGATCGAGGAACAGAGCCCGACGGCCTGATAGATGTGGGCAGCAGCGGTTATGGTTACAATGTCCTTGTCAGAGCACTGCAAGAGCGAAGGCCCTGCCATGAAAACAAGCCTCTACAACGCCTGTGCCAGGATCTGAGATTCCTACACTGCCAAACCTAGCAAAGCTGGAACACCTTCACCCCTCCAGCAGGCTGAGCTCACCTACAGCTGTGCTGGCCACCGGCAAGGCAAGGCAAAGCCAGGCTTAGAACATCACCCCAGGGAAGTGTTCGTACTTACTTTATCCATGCGGTCCTGTTCAACGCCAAATTTCCCTCCATAGCCATGGGAAGCTTTTGGTCCCGTTTCGAGCTCCTTCTCTTTGAGGTTCTGGTGTTCTTGGAATACGTTTTCTCTCAGCTGATGAATACTTTAAAGACAGGTAATTAAGCAGCAAGTTTTACTAAGAAAGTTTCAGAAGAGAACTTCAAAAAGATGCAAACCAAAAAGACAATAAAAATATCATCCTAATTAAAAGTTGCACTGCTTGTATCTTTCAAGCAGTTCTCATCTTTTTCAGTGCACAAAGCTCTTACTCCCTGTTCCATATTCCAAGAAACAAAATTTATGCCACTGCAAGACATTGTCAAAAAAAAAAAGAGAAAGCATTGGTTTTAAAACTAATATGGAAGGGTATTTTGCTGTTTCAACAATCAATTACTTAGAATTTATATGTGCCTGAAACATATCCTTTTCTCGTGTCCTAATTTAAATTCTTTCCAACGCTTTTCATTTAGATGGCAACTTTTCAGAATAGGGATCATCTCTCTTATCGCACAGTCCCTATGGTAACAGGACTCTAATTCTAAATGAGCATTCTGGACACAGCCATAATGCAAAAATAAGGATGCAAGAAGACATGCACCTCCTCTTCCCCAAGTGTTCCCTTACAAGAGGAAGGAACTTCGCTTACAATAAGGATAAACCAGGATGGTGAATCTGTACCTTAAAACACTTCCCACCCGAGTCTAAAGTTTCTTCAGCCAGCAGGCGTCCCCACTGTGCTCCAAGCAGGGCAGGATAAACCTGATCCCTCAAGTTAGCCACGTAGCTCAGGCTCTCTCTGTTTGCAACACTGATGACATTTATTCTTAGCCTTATACGACAAGGGTTGATGCCCCAGAAATTTGGAAGCGAAACCAAAATGAACATCGCAATCACAGAATTCTTGAAACTGCTTTAAAGTTAACTCTTGGACACTTTTTGTAAGAAATACAAGAATCAGAACATGGATCATTTCTGACTCAACCCTCCATGATGTATGCATTCGCTTTGCGGCCACTGGGCTCTATTTGTTACTTGGACAGAATTCTTATGAGTTTATAGCAGCTTTCTAAACAAAGCCTAAGAATTTAAGAGATCAACATATCCTTAAAGTACCAAACTGGAGCTGCTCAGATCACCCAACACAAACTTCTCCCCTGGGAGTACTGGCTCTTGTGCCAAAACAGAAAAAAACTTTCCAGACACAAAGAAGTAGGAAAAATAACACTTCCACTTACAAAGAAAGATTTACGAGTCCCTGCACTGTATTTCTGACATTAACTTCAGATCTGAAGATAGTGGCACATTTGAAAGATCAGCAATCTGGGAAATAATCAATCTTCTACAGAGGCTCTTGTTTTAATTATGAAGATACAAGTAACCGAGAACATGAGTTGATTAAAAGTCGCCTGGGATTGTGACTATTAATAAAGTTCAAAAGAGAGCTGCTTTACTTGATGTGCTCTTGATGGCCGGATCCTTTCACAGTTTTAGCTCCCCAGCGCTGTTCTTTCTCACTCACATCATTCTGCAAAGGATACACATGAAAAGAGTTAAAAACTTAAAGACACAACTAGTGATCTGCACTTTAGAGTTCACAGCAAAAGCCTTCAGCAGTCGGGGAGATCAGAAAAGCAGCACCTTCACTTCTCTTCTGCATAAGCCCTGTGCTTTGTCCCCTCCTGAAATGCACAGAACACGCGTTCAGCCCCAAGAGGCTGCTGCTTCTTGACACAAATCCCTTCTGTACAGACTCCTCTGCAGTATCCAGCCAAGAGAGGACAGTCTTGTTAATCACGCACAGGCACAAAACACTTTGCAAGAATACACTCCTATCAGTTTATTTTGCCGAGACATAGCCCCCATCCCAAAGAATCACTTTTTAAACACACTTCTGCCGTACCAGTAAAACTCAAAAGCCATACCACAAAATCAGGATCCGTCTCCCAGTCATCGGCTCCGTCATCCTGATTGACAGAAATGGTGTGCCCTGCCGTAGCCTTCCACATCTGCAACACCACCAGAAGCAGCACTGTCACATTCGGTTACACGCCAACTCATTCTATATTTCGCATAAGCCGACAGAGACGCAATCTAAAATTCCCAATAAAGGACGCTCATCACAAATAGGAGCTGTATTTGCAGCGAAAGCACATTTGACCACCAGCTCTCAGGCTGTCTTCTCATGCCGGTTTGAAAACCCCTTTTAGTTTTCCTGTTGGCCCTGCAGAAAGGTTAGAAGCAACTGCCGACGTGATTTCAAAGAGAACAAGGACGTCTTTCTTCGCCCAAATTTATACACGTCTTTTCTTCATTCATTTCCCTGAAAGACTTCTCTTCAAACAGGTCCCCCGAACCAACATCCACTTCCGAGGACTGTGACCGATTCTAGATCCCATGCATTTAGTTAAGGCACAGGAATAGTTGGTTTTTTCCCAAACGTTACCAAAAATGAGTGTAATAGGTTTACTAGGCAGTACAACCTACATGTTTCCTCTGTTGCGTAGTGAGTTTCAACATTACAAAAGAAATCCAAACAAGCCAAAGAATTTGCATGCAATCTAGACTTTAATCCACCTGCCTGCAACAGGGTACAAGAGTTACTGCATCTCTCAGGTAATCCCTTGTGAAGTAAGTACACCAACGCAAGTGTCTTGTCTGATTTTGGGGAGAAATGGAGCAGTGCGAGTGCCGGAGCGTGGACAGCAGGAAGTAAAACTCATTAAAAGGCAGCAATGACATCTAGAACCAATACTGGGCACTTCCAAGCAGCTAAGGGTTTTGAGCATCTCACTTTCTGGAAACCTTATCCCCTGCAGACTATCGAGTTGGACACTTTTAATTAACACTTTGGAAAGTGATGAGTGAGAAGAATACCCGACCTGCCTGGTGCTAGTGGCTGTATTTTATACCCTCTATTCTACGTAAATCAAAACAAATAAATTACAGGCAGCAAAACAAACAAAAAATGACAAAAAGCACCTTCTCACAGCTTTCTCAGGCATATGAGTCAGAGGAAGGATTTCTTTTCTTCATCACTACTCAACTCGAGTTCAGTTATCAAATGTAGTATTACTCTGTCCACTTACCTTTATCTTTCTAATTAAGAGTAGATTTTTAAGATGATTATGATTGACTTTTTCACTCATGCGAGCATAATCCCACAGGTGGACTGAAAACTCTCCTAACTAATAATCCACAGATAAATCAGAGAGGAAAAAAATCACCGCTTGCTCTACAGCCCGACAGAATAGGCTGGTGAGCCAGTTTTATGGAGTGTTTCAGAAATTTCAGGACTGCTAACAAGAACAAGAGCAACTGAAAAATTGATTGTCAAACACCAAAGAGAGAAGCCTGGAAGGATGGTGTATGAGCAGAGCAGATGACATCCTGACAAAACAGTAATATGTTCCCCCTTCTGTTTCTTCAGGTCTCCCAGCTCCAAACTCCTATGGCAATTAAGGAACTAGCATTTATTAAATTACTTAATATCCAGAAAACTCATGAGATTGAGTGTTTGCATAAAAAAACCATTTGAAAGCAGCAACGAACCAGCTCAATAAGGAATCTCAAGGTGGAGTCCAAGCCCTAACTTTGTAACCAAACACGAATGGATGGTCACTCCTAAGAGGAACACCCTGTGGCTGGGCAACTCCTTTAGAAATGGAAGCCGGGTGCCAAGAGCTGAAGCACAGGTACACATGCACATGGTTTCTTTACATATGTAGTGTGAAAAGCAACTTTTTTCCCCAGAGTACTTGGTTCACGCATTCACTTGATTGTTCTGCTTTGTGCATTCAGCTGTGCTGGGGCATTTAAAAGAACAAAAGCCAGATCTTTGAGTCTAGATTTCTTCGCTTCCTCCTCAAACTCTCACGAACGAGAACCAAGGAAACGAGGATTTCACACGCACACCCTTACAAAATCCAGAATCTGCCACGTTTCTTCCTAAATTATGCACGCAAACGCCAACGTTTTTCCACACCTCGAAGCTGCTTTCTCTAAAGTGAATCACAAAAGGGAGCAGAGCAGCCTAGTAACGAGGGATCTCAGCCGAGACCTCCGATCGCTGGTGGGGAGCTAACAGGAATGAGGCTGGTTTCCGCAGCCGCTTGCTATTCTAGCTTCTCTTCCAAAGCAAAACGTGGAGAAATATGATCTATTTCTGAGTCACTGACTCACATGGTCAAATTTCTGAAGGAAAAAGAAAAGGCTACGGTTCGAACGCGAAGGGAGGCTAAATATACGCTTTGAATTTAGCCGGCCAGCTCTGCTCTTCACCGCTGTTATGACTAATCGCCAGTCACACCATCCTTCCCAGCACCTTTAGCGGCGCTCGGGAACTGCCCTCTTCCCCAGGGCCTGGGACAAACTCCCGGCAGGAACAAAGGGGGATGCCAAGGCTTCGCGCCCAGGCCGAGCGCTGCAGGTGAGCACCACCGA